TTACCTTTTAATTTCACTACTTTTACTAAACTTACCATTTTTATAAGTTTTAATATAATTTTACTTTTTGAATTTAATAGATTTAATATTATTTTATCAAATTTTATCTTTTTACTATTTAAATCTCTAAATTTTACCTAAACTTAATAAAATTGGTCAACTTTATATTATTTTTGTTTAATAATATTTTTGATCCAATAATAAATATCAAATAGTAAATTAAAAGTTTGTTTTTATCTTTTAGTATTACTAATAATAAAATGATTTCTAAGTTGGATAAGCGCCAACACGTGGAATATCTTGAGATGAACATGTGAAATTGATTTGATTTTAAGATAATTTAAAGTTCCTATTATAGAGATACTCCCGAAATTGCTCTTCATAGTATTACAAAACGTTTTTGGAAGAAATTCGCAATTGGGCTTAAACATAATGTTAGATTAGTAATACACTTTTTTAATATCCAATAAATTTTTGTAATACACAGATTAAATTTTTTTTTTTATAAATCTCGCTTCCTTCCTTTTTTTTTTTTTTTCCAACTTGTGAATACCTTATTAGTTCACTCAAAAAATCTGATAATGATTTCCACTACACAACGAACTGGCTCTCTAATAGTTGGATGGAGACTACAAGAGCGTCATGTACTTATCATTGGCGGTAATCATATCGCAGCAAATCGTATTGAATTTGCTTTAGACGCGAGACCTCATAAAATAACTTTGATAACATCTCATTCTAATATCTCCTCCGATAAAGTTAGAGAACATATCGCAAAGAAAAGCGTTATTCATAAAAATAGAGAGTTTGAAGCAAGTGACCTTTTTGAAAGTAATAATACTGTAGATTTAGTCCTTTCTGCAGTTGATAATCCGCAACTTTCAGAAAAAATTGCTACTGCTGCTCGTGAATTGAGAATACCCGTTAATATAGCCGAAATACCGCATTTATGTGATTTCTGGTTTATGCCAACATATCGTGATGAGCATTTACAAGTCGCAATTTCTACAAATGGAACTGGACCTCAAATTGCTCATAAAATTAGGCAGCATATAATTGAAAGTTTACCTCAAAATATTACAACTGCAATCGATAATTTGGCTCTTTTGAAACAAAATTTAGGCGGCTCTAATATATCCGTGCTTTCAAAAATTACTGATACGCTACCTTTGAATCAAATCGCGCAACTTTCAAATGACGATATTAAAAAGTTGGTATCTGAACATATTAAAAATGTTGATGATGAGGAGACTGAAGTTTCTTCAAATTCTAGTATTGATGAGAAAAAATCAGATATAACGGTCGTTGATGAACAACAAAATAATAGTGCTACACTCAAATCAAAACTTATCAATGTAAATGGTAATGATATTATTTCGCCATTCACTTCAGGTGGTATTCAATTGGTAGATGGTAAAACTGCAGTCGAACATATCGCCTATGCTTTTAGTACGACATCATTTATCTATCCTACAACTCGAACACATTACATCGGGGAAGCGGCATTAAATTGGGCTTCACAAAGTGTCCATAATGCTTATGGACAATTGAGTCAAGTAATTAAAATGGACACTCGTTATGGAGCATCCACAGCAATTTTGGGCTCAACTTCTCATGCAATATCGGACAGGGTTTCAATTTTCACAACGTCACAATCAATTGTTTCTATGATCCCCAACTTTTATGGTATCGTTCAAGGGAAAATCCCTCTGGTCATACATGTTTCCGCTTTAGGGAATGATGAACAAATGAACAATTATGTGAACTATAATGATGCTTTGACAGCGCGGGAGACAGGTTTTGGGATAATTAATTCTTATTCTTCTCAAGAAATTCATGATATTGCATTGATAACTCATTTGGTTTCAATATCAACAAAAACCCCGTTTCTTCATGTGTTTGATGGATTGAGAACAGCTTTTGAATATTCTAAAGTTGATCTTTTACCTTATGACGAAATATCAAAGTTTAGCGATAAATTGTTAACAAACTACTCTACCGAAAATTCAGTTGTTGATTACATTGAAATTATTGCTGATAAAGTTGGTCAACTCACGGGACGAAAATATCATGCTTTTGAATATATTGGAAATCCAGAAGCCGAATCAATTCTTTTTGTTTTGGGCGGTGAAACGGTGATAGCAAAAGAAACTTTAAAGAAAATTAGCGGTGACGGGAGGAAAGTTGGTATTATAATTGCAAGAGTGTATCGCCCTTGGTCGGAAAAACACTTTTTAGCAGCTGTACCAAAAACGATAAAAAGAATTGCAATTCTTGAACAAGTAGCATCTAAAGAAGATTATTCTAATGGGTCATCAATATTTAGTGATGTTGCTGTATCATTCTCATCTAACCTTTGGAATGGAAAATGTCCAACATTGATAGACGCAAAGTATCCAACAACACAAAAGTTTTCTCCGACTGTAATTCACCAGCTTTTGCAACGATTGGAAGCCAACGAAGATATTATTTTTAATGATGATCTTTTATCAGGAAATGTTGACAGTTTTAATATAAATAATAATGTGAAGCAATGTTTATTTTGGGATTTGGAGTCCAAAGAGACTATTCAAGCTGTCAAACATATTTCAAAAATTCTTGGACAACATTTTCATTTCAATTTGTCCTCATTTTCCACCTTTGACATTTATAATAATGGAAGTGTTGTAACAACAAATCTGCAATTAGGAAATGACGTTATAAGCGGATTTCAAGATATAGAATCTAATTATGATTTCATTTCCATACATGATGTTAGTTTAACAAGTAAATATAATATACTAGCATCGGCTAAAAATGAGGCCGTTGTTGTTCTTAACACAACTTGGACAGTTGATGAATTAGAGACAAAATTACCAAATGATTTTAGATATGAAGCCTCCAAGAAAAATATCAAGCTTTATATTTTGAATTCTGAGAAAATAGCTCAGGACGTGGGTTTGAATTTAGACGTTGCTATTAATGTAATATTTCAAAGTACGTTCTTAAAATTAATCAACCATGAAGTCAAACTTGATTGTACTTTGGAGGATTCTATCATAGATTTATATGAAGGTAATAGTGAAAAGGAAGTATCATTGTTAATTCGTAATATTTGCCAACAATCAGAGAAATCAATAATACGTGTCGAGCTTCCTCCTACGTGGGGAATATTGGAAAAATCAGATCAAAATTTACCTTTAACTATTGAAAGCAATTCATTAGATAGAAATCTAGATATTCCCGAGATAGAGAAACCAAAACTTCAAAATTGGCATGCAGTAGCTCGGAATTTACTCTTCAAAGAAGCTTTTGATTCAAATCAAATTACTCGACCAGATTTACCTGAAAAGACTTATACAATTCGTGTTAGTGAAAATCGACGATTGACTCCGCAATCTTATGACCGTTATTTATTCCATATTGAATTTGATACGCAAGGAACGGATCTTAAATACGATTTAGGAGAAGCTCTTGGTGTTTATGGACATAATGATAGCGAAGAAGTCAATAAATTCTTGGAATTTTATGGATTAAATCCTAATGATATTATTTTAGTACCAAACAAAGGTGATCGCCTTGAATCTAGAACTATATTTCAAATATTTGCACAAGTTCTTGATATTTTTGGTCGTCCTGCCAAGCGATTTTATGACTCTTTAGCACAATACGCCACTAATGAAAAAGAGAGAGAAAAGTTATTATGGATAGCAAGTAACGAAGGATCTCAAGAATTCAAACGTCGTGTTGAAGATACAGTCACATATGCAGAAATATTGTACGAGTTCTCCTCTGCACATCCACCTATTGAAGATCTCGTTCAATTAATTGCACCCATTAAACCACGTCATTATTCGATCGCTTCCGCTCAAAGTGTACATCCTAATGGTGTCCATCTTTTAGTTGTTACAGTAGAATGGGAAAATTCTAGAGGTGTAAAACGTTTTGGTCAATGTACTCGTTATCTAGCCGGTCTTAAGGTTGGAGAAAACGTTATTGTATCAATTAAACCTTCCGTGATGAAATTACCTCCAAGAGATACCCAGCCCGTTATTATGGCCGGTTTGGGTACAGGAATGGCTCCATTTCGTGCATTTATCGAAGAACGTGCGTATCGTAAATCACAAGGTATAGAAGTTGGTCCCATGATACTTTACTTTGGATCACGTAATAGGTCAATGGAATATTTGTATGGAGAAGAATTAGAAGCTTATCATACAGAAGGTTTACTCAGTCATTTGAGATTAGCATTCTCTCGTGATCAAAAACATAAAGTATATATTCAACATAAGATGCAAGAGGATTCTGACTTGTTAAGTCAATATCTACTTAAAGATGAAGGTTGGTTCTATCTTTGTGGACCCACTTGGCCGGTACCTGATGTTAAAGATGCAATTGTTAATAGTTTTGTGACAACAGGCGGTCTTTCTTCAGGCCAAGCAGCCGATATGGTAAATAAGTTGAAAGATTTAGAAAGATATATACTAGAAGTATATTAAATTTATTCGTTTAGATGTGATGTTTAGTCATATTTGTACATTATAATTTATGACAGTCTCAGTAATTACTAATATTCAAAAAAAAAAAAAAAAAAAAAACATTTGTAATCTGTATTTTATTTAAACTCTATAATATAATATCAAAATAAAAAATAGATACATTATTATATTTTCAGAAACATCGAAAGTCCGCCCTTAATTCTTTTAGCGTAATGAAAATTTCGAAGTTATAGAAATCTCGTAAAGTTGATTGAGCAGATTTCAAAAAGTTGCGGTAGAATTATTTAGAAAATCAATCTATCGTGTTGTTTTTTTTTTATTAGCGTTAGATTCACATTTTGATGTAATTATTTATTTTATACATGATAAATCTATTTAAATGTCTTTTTTAAAAAAATAAATAATAATAATAATAATAATATAATATGGAATTGTGTACAAATAAATTTTTTTTATCTATTCTATACAAAGGATTAAAAAACCAAACTACAACGGTATAAAAATTATTTTAAATAAATCATGTTAAAAGCACATAAATTTATTTTTTTTGGATAATAATTGTTCGACTTGACTTTCAAGTTTTGCATAAGCTATCTCGACCTTCTTTTTTAATACCCTTTCTTCTGCCAGAATCTTTTCAATTTCTTCCTTCTCTCTTACAGACGTAATCATTTCTTCATATTCATTCGTTACAGTTACCAATTGATACTTGAAATTTTCTATTTTTCTTTCAAGATCTAATTTTTCGCGTCGCAATATAATTAATTTTTGTTTAGCTTCACTTAATTCCTCTTCATTTTCCTTAAGTGTTTCTTCAAGCATTTCAATAAGTTGTGTTTTTCCATCATTCTCCTCTTCTAACTCTGCAATCTTTTTATTCAATTCTTGTATCTCGGAAACGGATAATTGTGATTCATTTTCTTGCGTTTCAAGATGAGTGGTTGAAATATTTCCATCTTGACCAGAATTGAATATTTGATCAGCTTTATTCCATTCTGCTTCATTGTCTTGTTCTTTAGCTGCAAGCTCCTTAACATTTAATACTGCTTCTAATTGAGAAATTCGTTCTTTGTGTCCATCAGCACGAATCTCGGCGTCTGAATACTTAATAGCAACATCTTCGAAATCAGTTGTTAATGAATCAAAGTCTCTTTGTAATTTATTAATGTTAGATTCAAAAATTCCATTCATTATAATGGCCTCATTTCTTTCAGCCATAAACTGCGTTGATTTTTGTTCCAATTCCTCAAAACGTTCATTATTAACCTTTGCTTCGTTTTGTAAAAGGACGCATTGCTTTCGAAGTGCTTCAATCTCAACATTCGCTTGTTTAAGTTTTATAATTTCTTCATCACGACGTTCTCGTGCCTCTTGAAGTTGAGATTCTAAAGATTCGACATAATCAATACTATAAATTTCGGAATTCTTTACTTTTTCGAGTTGAGCCCTTGTTTCATCTAAAATATTTGTTAAACCTTGTAATTTTTCTTCCTTTTTCTGTAAAGCTGCTTCCAACTTTTCAATTAAAGTTGCTTTTTCAGCTTCTGAAACTTTTAATTCTTCTAATTCAACGGTCAAATTCTTTACATGATCACATGTTATTTCTAATTCTCTGATATATTCTAATTGCCGATCAGCCAACTTTTGTGCGTCTTGAAGTTCAGATGATGATGAATTGACTTCTGCAACCTTTGTTTGAAGCTCTTTAACTCGTTCTGACTCCAATGATTTAGACAATTCTAAAGCTGTTTTTGCCTTATTGACCATGTCTTCTAATTCCACTAGACGTGAATTCTTTTCGTTAATCGTTTTTTCCTTTTCTAACAATGCCAAATTTGCTTCTTTTAATACAGACTTGAATTCATTGACCATCTGAGCACGTCTTTGATCGGATGCTTTAGTTTCATCAAGTTGTGATTCTACTTTAGTCAATTTTCCTCCAAGTGTTGTCATTGTATCCTGATAAGTTTTGGCTGTGGATTTTGTTTCTTCAAGTTGAGACTGTAGGTCGGATATAGTGAGCTCAAATGTTGCGATCGTTTCTTTTTGTTTCATTTCTTGTGTCACAATTGTTCTAGTCAATTGATTAGTACGTTCGACATATTGATCACGTTCCTTTTCCAAAACTTTCACTTGTTTTTCAAGTTCATTCAAAAGGTTATTCTGTTCCGTCATTTCCTTTTTAGTATTTAACAATTCTTTACGTAGAGATTTATAATCTTTATCATCAACCTTTCCACTTTCCTTTAACGAGTGAATTTCGGCTTCCAACGCTTCAATCTTTTTTTCATCTTCATCTCTTTGTTCCAAAGTGTTGGTTAAAAAGTTGGTCATGCCATCAAGTTCTTTTAAACTAGCTGCGTGATTTTCCTTAACCATATTCAATTCCTCCATCATGGTTTGTAGTCCTCCTTCAAGAGTTGTGACAAGTTTAGTTTGTTCATAAAAATTTTCCTTCATACATTCCCATTCTCTTATGACAGTTTCCTTGGCTTCTTTTGTTTCTTGAAGTTGAATTTGTAATTGAAATATGATTGCTTTTTGCCCGGACTCTGATTCTTGCAATCCTTTCAATTCATTCCTCATCAATTGCAACTTTTGATATTTCTCTTGAGCGTTATTTAATTGTTGTTCTAATTCATGAACTTTTTGTTGAAGTCGAAATTCGGAAGTTTTTAATTCGGCCAATTCGTTCTTTAAAGAAAAAATTGTGGGATCTTCTTGAGCTAGTTTTATTCTCATTTCAAAGGTTTGAATTTTCATTTGTTGTTCGGACTTTTCTGAGCGAAGCTGTTCGATTTCTTCATTTAATAAGGAATCTTGAGAGCGTGATGATTCATTTAATTTATTTTCACGATCTCGAATCATTTCAAGTTGCTGGTTTTCTTTAAATTTTAGTTTATCGATTTCATTTTGAAGACTTGAAACTTCAGATTCCGATTTATTCAATTTAGATTCAAGGTTAGCGATTGTCCTTTTTTCTAAAGTATTAGATTCTTTTGTTAAAGCCAATTCAGTTCTTAATTTTATTAAATCATTAAAATCTTCAACTTGACCACCATTTTCAGTTAATTGAGTTTCTAATACTGTGATCTGTTCCCTTTGCGAAATTTCAACTTTACGTAATCGATCCAAGTCTTTTTGCAATTTCGATTCCTCAGCATCTAAGGTTTTTAATCGTTCCAGTGCAAAGGATTCTTTTTCTTTTGCTTCTTTGAATTCCTTTCTTATAACTTTTAATTCGCTTTGAAAAACTTTGTTCACATTATTATTTTTTTCAACTTTTTCTAAATGTTCTTGTAATTCTTTCATTTGGTCTTGCATGCATATATCTTTACTTTTGATTTGATTTAATTGTTCTTTGAGAAAAGCAACTTCTGTTTCCTTCTCTTGAAGCATTTGTTGTAAAGCACCTTTATCTACCAAATCACGTTTTAAAGACTCTATAAGTTCATTTTTTCGTTTTATATCTAATTTAAGAGTAAATAGTTGGGATTGTAAAGTAGCTACTAATTCTTGTTCGCCGTTCAAATTTTGTACATTGTCGGAATTTTTAGTCAATACCTTTTGTAAAGTAGCAAGTTTAGTTTCAAGATTATCCATCGCTTTTTGTGTTGGATCCATAATATGAAGAATAGATGTTCGTGGGGAAATTGATCGAGATTCTTTTGCTTTTGATAATCGAGTTTCAAGTTCTTTAACTGTGTCTTCCAATGCTATTACGTTCTCATCAATGTTCTGTTCTAGTTTGCCAGCCGAACTTTCTTCAGATATCACGTCGCTTTGGAAAGAAGTAATGTTATTATCTGATGATGATTCAGAGATAATAGAAAATTTGCTATTTTTTTCTTCTATAGCAATACGAAGTGCTTCTTTTACCTCACAAAGTTCACCTTCAAGATGTCGAATCTTGTTTTCACGTTCATTTCCTGGAAGCAAAAGTGCAGCGATAGTATGACCTTTTGTTTCAATATCTGTTTGAAGTTTAGAAACTTGTTCACGAAGATTCAGTAATTCATCTTTTTCTTTATCAAAGATTTGTTGAGAACCTGAATCAATTTCGGAAATTTGACGATGATGTTGGAATTCTAAAGCTTTAACAAGTTTATCTTCCAATTCCTTAACTCGAGATTGTAATTCATAAACAAGTTGTTCATTGACATTCGTATTAATGTCTATTTGTTTATCTTCAGCCTGGCGCAATTGTTCTTTGAGTTCATTAATGTTTGATTCCAGTTTTTCAACTTCTTCCGCCTTCTTCTTATTCTCATTCTCACGTTCAGCAATGCTTTCCATTGCTAATCTTTGTTTCTCTTTTAATTGTTCAACTTCTTTACGAAGACATTGAATAATTTCAAGTTCATCAATGTGGCTCGTATTAGGCGAATTTGATTCATCCGTAGTTTGTTTGGAATTTATTACTGACTTTACTTCCAATTTTGCTAGCGCATCACGTCTTCTAATTTCCTCACGAAGTTCCTCAACGACTTGTAACGTTTCACGATGATTTATTTCTAAACGCGATAATTCATGTTTGACAGCATCTAGACTCTGTGATTTATCTTTATGAAAAGATTCCAATAATTTTAATTCAAATTGAAGTTTTTCAACAATAGCGGCATGAGCATTATCATGCTTCTCCGAATTTAAAAGATCAGCGGATAATGACTTGACTTTTCGATGAAGCAAAGATTTAGAAGCAGAAGGAGCGACGGCATTACTTAAAGTTTCTTTGGTATAATTGGACATAGGAGTCATTGGAGTCATTGGAGTCATTGGTGTGGACGAAATAGAACGTAAATCTTCAATCATTTCAGAATGTACATCGAGTTGTGATTGAAGTTCTTGAATTACATTAAGAGATTCCTCATATTTATATTTAGTTTCTGCTAATTCCGAGACAGTTTTTTCATAAGTTTTTTCCAATTCGAAGAGTTTTGATTCAAGTGTCGTTATTTTTAACCGGTCATCATCATTAATTTGTGGGGAAGATGATAAATTCGCTTCTTTAAGTGAAGATTGAAGTTCTTGAATTTCGTCTAGACTTGATTGATATTTGATTTTTACGTCAATCAATTCAGTAACAGTATTTTCGTGTGATTTTTGTAATTCAGCAAGTTTAGATTCAAGATTTATAACGGTAAAGAGATTTTGTTCACCTGAAGGAGAGGAAGATCGGTCTTCGCCCGCGGTTATCGAGCTATGTGAATTTGTGGCTTCTAACTTTCTTAGTTTGTCAAGTTCTTCGACTAAAAGATTTAATTTGAATTCAAGTTGATTAATTCTTCGATCACGATCATCGAGTTTATCCAGGAGAACTTTGGTTTCTTGAGTGACGGGAACATTTTCAACTCGTTCCTTCTTTAGTTCATTAAGCTGTACTTCCAATTCTTGATATGAAGCATCACGTTCTTGTAAGCGTTGTTCAAGTAATCGAACGGTTTCGCTAATGAATTTTTCGGGATGTTCAAGACGAGCTGTATGTAATTTTGCTTCAATTTCACGTTTTTCTAATTTTGATTCGATTTCTTTGATATAATTTTGTAGACTATTAATGACATTCTTGTTATGTTCATTAGATTCTTCAACTTCTTTGTGACTAGCCTCTTGTTCTAATAAAAGATTCTCGGAATGAGATAATGCAGCGTCCATTATGGCTAATTTACTTTCTAAAGAAGATATGTTTTTTTCATATTCTTCAGTTTGCCCATGATTATTTGTCTCATCATCGTAATTATTTTGATGCATTGCTAATTCCGCAGAAGTTTTAGCATATTTTTGTGTGAGTTCAGCATAAGATCGTTGTGATTGTGAAAGTTGTTCTTCTAACATTTCAATTTCTTTAGCATAGTGAACATTTCCATGAGCAAAGGTTGTGAGAGGTGAAGATGTTCGTCTCATCGAACTTGGAGTTTCCCTCCCGTTCGTAGGTGTATTTCGTCCAGGTATTCCGGAAGAAGGTGTGTTTCGTCCTGGAATTGAAGGTGGGGTATTACGACCAGGTATACCAGACGTTGGAGTACTACGTCCTGGTAAACCTGACGTTGGAGTATTTCTTCCTTGTATAGTAGCCACGTTAACGGAATTTTTCCGACCTGGAATATTTCCGGCAGTCGGGGTAACTCTTCCTGGAGTAACGGTTCCACTAGAACTATGTTGTTGCTGTTGTAATCCCAAAGTTGCATTGGCAATTTTCAAGGCACTATTCTCATGTCTCAACTTGATAACCAAAGATTGTAAATGTGAAACATCACTCCAACCCATTTCTTCTTGATTAATCACGGCACTATTTTTAATGTTTCTTGCTCGATTTGCATATTTTAAAGTACTTAATGTTTCATTAAGATTATATTCTGCTGGTGAAACGCACGCTATTAATAAAGTTTTCGCATTTCCACCTAAAGAGTCTTGTAATAATCTTGTAAGCTTTGAGTCTCGATATGGAATGTGAGTTGTATGCTTTGCTTTGTGAGGATCTCCTAACGCCGAGATTACGTTTCCCAATGCCAATAATCCCGAATTTATGGAAATTCCTTCTTTCGCCCTTTCACCACTAGCAGCCGTTCGTTTTAACTTTATTAATAGGGGAAAAAAAAGTAAGTTTAAGGGCGCGACATTTTTGATCCGAATTTAAGCTTATTATACTTACTCTTTCACTACCAGCTAAATCCACAAAGTGAAATTTACTTGTTATATTAAGCCATTCCCCATCGTTAACACTCATAACAGAGTTTGCTCTTGAAGGAGCTCTTGAACCAATAGATCTTGAAGATGGTGTTCCGGGTCTTGAATAAGTAGGTGTTATAGGTGACATTGGAGGAGCATTTTGATTACCATTATATGATACGAATTTTTGTTGAAACATTGTTACAGAAAATATTGCATGAGATCTAGAAGATTTTGCGTTCATATCTGTTGCTCCAACTTGTCGATGTTGTGAGCCTCTAGCCAAATAACTAAGAAGAAAAGTTTTTGGAAAACAAAATGATCTTAGCACCTACACGTATTTCTAATTATTTATTTTTATATTTTTTATATATATTTTACTTCATACTTACTTTATTACTTCTTCTACGCACGTAACTTTCACTTCTTGTAATCCGCTCCAGTAAATGTTTCCTTTAGAATCTTCTCTGATTAATACAGGAGGTCTCTTCTCTTCTTCACCTTCACCAAGTAAATCAATTAAATCTTCATTATGAATTTCAATAAATGATACACACAGTGTAATTTTTCTATGATCGGTTCTTGACTGATGTATGGAATTAATATTGGAAAATAATGTAGACATCGCTCTTGGTATTATTCCTTTTGATGTTGTAGGTACTGAAGGATTATCAGCTGTACCCATTGTATGTGTTTTTCCTGAAGATGTTTGTCCATATGCTAATATTGTTACATTGAATCCTAAAAAAAAATTATGTATGTGTATATATATATGTACGTTATTATTTGTTTAAAAGGTTTAATGATTACGTTATCGGATAAATTACCGGAAATTCAGTCGGACATCCAAAAAAATATTTTACCTTCCAAAAATTTAGAAATCAAATGTTCAACAGATTTTTCATAAATTTCTTGTTGGGTGGTTTCGGGTGGATATACATGATCAAAATGAAATGATTGTCTTTTTTCACCTTCAACAACAATTTGATTCGTTGCGTAAGGTGACGTAGCAATAATTGGTCTCTGAAATCGTGAAGGTAAATTTTCTAAATCATGATCCGTTAATGGTTTTACACGTATTGCTTGAATATTTCGAATGTGCGGAATAAGAAAACATTGTATGATTTGAACGATGATGACGTTAACATTATAAATTAAGATAATCGTTTTTTTTAGGCAAAAAAAAAATTTTTTTTATTTAGAATACGAAGTTCTTACCAACTTGTACCGAGACCTTTTCAGATCCCCCACCGGTGGAGTTCATTTTTTAAAGTATTTTTATTTTGAAATTGTTCTTTTTAAATCAATTTTTTTAAAAATCAATTTTTTTTTTTATTTAAATGTCATTGACTTTAAAGTGATATTAAAGAAGGATCCGGTCCTTTGGATATAAAGATAAATAAATGATTCTTTTAATAACAAAAACCTATAAATATTTTAAGGTTATCCGCAACTCTAAAAGTAGTCGGTTAGAGGTAAATTTTTTTTTTTAAAAAAAAAAAAAAAAAAGTTAAGAAATCAAACGAGAGAGATTGAATTTTGAATTTAATATGTAAAAAACTCCTTTAGAATTTATTAATCGAAAATGGTTAAAGTTGTACCAAAAAAAATAAATAGATAAATTTCTTTGTTTAAAGGAACTTTTTAAAGTTTGATATTTTTTTTTCTCCCCTAAACAAAAGGTTCCAGGATAGGTTTAGTTGTGAAACTATATAATTATAATAGGAAAAATGGGAATAATATGAAGATTTAATTGTAAAGGAAGAAACATTTGATTATTCCGAAGTTGACAAATATAGAAATATGCAGCGACAAAAAAAATTTTTTTTTGTCATTTAGTAAAACAAGTAACCAAGAATATTGAGTCGATTGACGTAACAATTATAAAAATAGTTTGTGCATTTAAACTGCATTGTCATTGTATTGATTCCATTGTTTTTTTTTTCATCTTTAAAAAACGTAGTAAACTTTCAAAAGATGTTGAATCCTTTTGAAAAGGTCTTTGAATAGTCAAATTTATAAAGTGAATCACGATAAATGAAAAAAATATTCAAATATATCTGTTATATCAAGAAGTTTTTATGATCAATCCGGTATATTTTATTTTTTTTTGTTAAACATATGATTGATTTCTTAAACCTCAAAACCTCAAACTGTTCTTATTGTCATGCATTTTGATTTTTTTAATTTAAACCTTATTGGATTTGGTAGTTACATTCACCTACTATTCAAAGTTAAAGTGAGGCGTTTAGGTGGTGTTTCCTAAGTTCTAAAAATATCATGTTTTCATTTGATATATATTGTTTACCGCGTCAGCTTAGGGGGTATTTTTCGACTTAAATAACATGTACTACGGCTAGGATTACCATGGAACATATTTTAACACGCCAAATGAAGGTCTAATTTATCCATATATTTAGAGCGTATTAAAAGAGGTTTCACTTTTATCTTGGCATTAAATCTTCAGCAACCGAGTAAAATTTCTTTTAATGTTTAAACATTTTGGTTGTTGAAAACAATAGTTTTTGACAAAATACCTAAATAAAAAAAAAAGCTTATTCATTCATATAAAAAAAAACTAATTATCGCTATCTTAGCCATCTTGAAACGTAGGACCAAAAAACAACGCTAACCAAAAAAAAAAGAGCTTTTCGATAATCTTTATCTGAATGATCTACATCTAAAAAAAATAAAATTCGTCATAAGATTTCAAAGCACCCTTTTTTTTCTCTCTGATCAAAAAAAATAAAATTAAAAAATTACAAAAATTACAAAATTCCCAATTTGTAGATTTTCGTATTAGAAATGTCAAATCAAGTGATCAAAACATTTAGTAATCAACATAAGTTACCAAGGTTACCTATTCCTTCATTAGAAGAGAGTACAACAAGATATTTAAATTCACTTAAACCTCTTCTTTCATCTAAAGAATTTGAATGTACTAAACAACATATAAAAGATTTTATTAAACCTGGTGGACTTGGACAAAGATTACATCAGCGATTAATCGATATTGATCGAATTTCTCCACATAATTGGCTTGATGATACCTGGTGGATAAAAAAAGCTTATCATGAATGGAGAGTTCCAGTAATTATTAATTCAAACTGGTATCTTTTATTTATTGATGATCCAAATACTCCAAAAGAATATTTTACAAATAATAATGGAATTTGCCCAAAAGGACAATTTTCTGAATGGCAAATTAAAAGAGCTGCTCATTTAATTGGAAAAATGTTAGATTTTAAAAACTTAATTGATACAGAAAGCCTTCCTCCAGATAAAACACGTGCTTATCCTTTATGTATGCATCAATATACACGTGTTTACGGTATTACTCGTATACCAAAACTTAATTGTGATGAATTAGTGTATACTTCACATCCTGCTCCTGCTAGACATATACTTATTATTGCAAAAGATCAGTTTTATATTTTGGATGGTTATGATAAAGATGGACAAAAATACAATGATGGAGATATTGAAATGTAAGTAATAAAATTTCAATTATATTTATTTATATAATTAAATATTTGTTTATTATTATTATTTTTACAGTCAACTTCATCAAATAATCAATGATGTTTTAAAAACACAACTTGATCCTCCAATTGGAGTACTTACAGCTGATAATCGTGATTCTTGGGCTGTGGTAATTTTTTTATTAAATAATATTTCAATTGTATAAATATAAAATAATTATTTTACTTATTTTACTTCTTTTACTTTATTTTTATTATCTTAATTAGGCACGTGAAAATTTACTTGCAAATTCGTTACAAAATCGAGAAACTTTAACATTAATTGAAAATGCATTATTTGTAATTAGTTTGGATGATTATTCAACAGGAATGGATCTTGATAAATTTAATCGAAATATGTTTCATGGATTAGATGCTCATAATCGTTGGTTTGATAAAGCAATGTCTATTGCTATAGAAAGTAACGGACGAGCAGCTATGAATGGAGAAGTAAACATATTTACAAATTTACTATTAATTTTATTTATTTACAAATTATTTATTAAATTTTCTGTTTATAGCATTCACCTTGTGATGCTCTTATACCTTCAATCATTTCTCAATGGATTGTTCTTGAACCAACTTTACCAAACGCACCAGTTTCTGGACGTTCAATTATTCCACCACAAAGAATTAGATTCATAACAAATGAACAAACATTAAAAGATATTATTGAAGCAGAAAAGAGAATTAGTCCTATAATTGCTGATTCTGATGCATTAATATTACAATTTTCAGAATATGGTGCTCATTTTATTAAAAAAATTGGTAAACTTAAAAATTTATTTTTATTAGATTATTATCTAATTCATAAATTATATATTTATATACTTATTTTATCAATCATAGGTAAATGTTCACCTGATGCATATTTACAAATGGTATTACAATTAGCATATTTTATAACACATAAAAAAGTTGTTCCAACTTATGAAACTGGATCAACTCGAAAATTTTTACATGGACGTACTGATACAATTAGAACACTTAGTTTAGAAAGTAAAGCATTTGTTGAAGGAATGGAAAATAAATCATTAACGGTATATATTATCTTTTAATTTATAAATAAATTGATTTATAAATATTAAATAATTTCTTTAATTTAATAGGTACAACAAAAATATGATTTATTACTATCAGCAACAAAAACACATAATATTTATACACAAGATGTTTCAAATGGCAAAGGTTGTGATCGTTATTTATTAGGATTAAGACTTTTACTTCAAAATGATGAATCCCATCCAATTTTTACCGAGTCAATTTTTGCTAAAAGTCAAGAATGGATTTTAAGTACAAGTGGTCTTAATTCTGGTGATCAATTAAATGGTAAGTATAAATATAATTATATAATAATAATTATATATAAATTATTAAATTTAAATTCAATTTAATATAGGCACCGGTTTTGGATGCATTTATCCTAATGGATATGGTATTAATTACCTTGCTGGAGAATATATATTGAAGTTTGGTATTGAATCAAAATATTCTTCTTCTGAAACAGATTCAAATACACTTAGACAAAATATTATTAATGCATTAAAAGAGATGAGAAATATTTGTGAACAAATAAATGGTAATTATGAAACAACAGGTAGATTATAATTTTATAAAAAAGGTTATATATGTTATTTTAAAATTATATATTTCAATTATATTAATTATATTTAAAATAAGATAAAATTATATAAAATTTATTAAAAATCTATAAAATAAAAAAAAAAAATTATATTAAAACTTTATGATATTAAAAATTTAAAAAATTTATTAAGATTTAAAAGTATAAAGAATAAGAATTAATATTTTTTTTTTATATAATAAATTAATAATATTACATTATACTTTTATACTAATAATACAATTATTATTATATTTTAATATTTTATTAATTATTTATCAAATATAAAATTTATTTTGATTATTTATTATTAATTCAAATTACTTATATGATGTAAGTGTTAGAAAAAAGAACTAAATTAACAAAAAAAATTTTTTTTGAAATAACAAATGATTTGAATCAGATGACCAAATCTACATCTATTTTACTTAAAAACTTTTTTTTTAAAAAAAGAATCAATTTAATCCATTTTTCCAACACTCATCTCATATCAGTCTATAATATTTTCTTAATTGATAATTTTAAATATTTTATAATTATTTATAATAAATTGCAAATATATTATTTATTATAAAGTTTTAAAAAATAAAAAATTTCAAAATATGATTTTTTGTAAAGTTAATTATATATTATCATATTAAAATATAAATAATTAATAAATAATCATTTTTAATTTATCTTATTCTTGCTTCAAATTACAATTAATGCATCTTATATTATTATTGTTATATAAAATGCATTAAATAAATTAATAATCATCTGAAATATCTCAATTATAATTTGAAGTAAATTATCTATTTGTAATAAATATATATTTTTTTTTTACAAAATAACAGATTTTTTTTTTAACTCTTAAATAAGTATTACATAAATTTATTTTATTCAATTATTTTTATATTTTAGATATATAAAATGAAAACTTTTGTTTTCTAAATTAAGTTTGAACTTTATTTTAACAAAAATATCTACTATAATATTTAATTTCACATTTTTCGCTTATTTTTTTATAATAACATTAGTTATTATTATATTTATTTTTATATTTATACAAACTCTAATACTAACTCAACATTTTAAAGATATAGTTTATTTTATTGAAATTTTATTAGAAGAAATATCTTTAATTTAGAAAAAACAGTTGTTTCAAGTAACTCTAACTTATCAGCAGAATAAAGATTTTAATTATTCAAATTTTGATTGAACTTAGTATTTATTTTTGACTTTTTTATGATTTTACATGAAAAAGGAAGGTGGTTTATATTAAATAATCAATTTTAGAAATAGTAATCCATAGTGATACCTATCTAAACTCTTTTTTGAAAAATTATAATTTTATCAAAAGGATTTGTCTCTTTAATATTTTTATATAAATAAATATAAAATTATTATATTTTTTAATGTATTTTAATTTATGAAATTCAAATTAAGTTAAAAATAATTTTAGCAATTAAGTAAAATAGTTTTATAATTAATAAAAACTAGTTTCGTCATTTTAGTTTCGTTAATTTTATTAAATTAAGAAGGGTAATTTCTTCAGGTATCACTAGTTATTCATATCAGATTTCCAATTTAAAATTCAATAATTCATTTATTTTATTATTGTGATTTACCATTTTTTTTGTATAAATCTAAAAATCTTGACAGGCAACTATTCTTAAAACTTTATGATTTATAATTGTAGATATTATAGTTTTATTTGTGATATCATTAAGGATAAAATCAATAACAGGTTAGTAAAAATCTAAAATTTTTAATTGGTAAATAAAAAATAATGTTATGTAAATAATTATTAAAATATAAAATAAAACATATGTTCAATTATTTTTTTTTAAAAGATATAATGTAGTATTTATTTATTAAAAATTATTTTTCAAATACAAAGTAAAAAGAAAAATCCCAAGACAGTATCATTAGCTAAAAATTTATCATTGAAAATTTGATCTATAGAAGTAAGTAACTGGAATTAATTTTATATTGATCACAAATTAAAAAATCTGCATAATTTCTGATTAATCTGATTTTTAATATATCCCTTATATTCCTTATAAGTTTGATTTTTTTGATCTTATTTATTTCCATTATTTTCATTATTTTTGATATTTTTATTATATTACTTATATTTATTATATTTTATATACTTGTTATATCTTATATATTAAAGTTGTAGTTACAAATTTAGTTAGTTTATAGCATAATAATTAGTTAACTATAGCAAATTAATTTTGTATAAATAAAATAACTTTTTGTTTAAGTTGTAAATTAACTCAATTGTTAATTTATAACTTTTTTATAAGTTTTATAACTTCTGTGAATTTTAAATAATAAAGAAATCAATTTGAAAATATAATTACTTTTTCCTTTTACACATTCATCATTTAGAATTTGATTATAAATCATTATACTAATTTGCTTTTAAGTTTATTACTTAGAATAAATAAAATTTCTTAAGTTTTTTCTAAGTCTTTAAACTTTTTAGTTTGTAAAGTCAAGCGAAGTAATTCCAAGAAATTTCAGATACTTGTAGGATGTAAGATTTTCTAAAATTATAAAGTCTAATGATAAGAAACTTACTTATCACAATAAAATAACTTAGCAGAATACATGTAAGAAGAACTATTATCAGTAATAACAGATATAAAGTAGAAAAAACAAAGTAAATACTACTTTAGTCTTTCTCAAAGAATTTAACTAACTCCAATCAAATCAACCAGTTATCTCATCACATTCAAAATCAACTACTATGTGAAGAAAATCAGTATATGACTAATAGAAATATAATAAAACAACTAGTTTTCATTGCACTAAAAAGAGGTTAAGATTGGCTATAAATAAATGAGTTAAAAAATAAGTTTAATTGATAATTAGTATCTTTAGGATAAAGAAGAATAATAATAGAATTAGAATGATTCTTGAATTTTTGTAATTTGTCTTTTTTTTTATATTGTATTTTAGTTTTATTGCAATAATAATGTTACAATGAGATTTTCAAATTAGTTTAAAAGATTAGTTAATGATAAAATCATAAAAAGTAGATAAAAAATGAAAGTTTTTTGTTGATTTTTAGTGAAATTATTGATAATATAATAGAATAATATCTTTAATAAAGTCAAGAAAATAGAATAATGTTGGAAAATGTGAAGGAGTGAGAAATCAGTAGTTATAAAAGTGATCTAATACTTTTAATAAATCACATAACCAGTCAGTATTACTGATCAAAATCAAAAAATTGCCATTTACCATTAAATATTAATTCGGATAAAATTCAGAAATTACTAAAATCAGCTATAATATTTATGACCGATTTATAGCTGATTGAAGCTGAGCCAAAAATCAACTCTGATTAGTCTATTAGGATAATGCAAAATTATCCAATTGGAAAAATCGTCCTAAAAATATAATAATAAATAAGGGTCAAGAATAGAGTTTAGATCCATATATCTGTAAACTGTGTATCCGTATGAATAATGGATTGCGGATACTCATTTTACTACTTCGAATAATATTCAGGATAAATAATTTTGTATGGATAATCCGTGGATAATCCTTATATCTATGGATAATCATGAAAAAATATTGTTCCAAAAGAACAATAAAAAATATCATTTTTTTTGGAACGATAATTGAATCGTTCTAAAAGAACGATGAAAAATTGTTCTTAAGAAACGATAATGAATCATTACAAAAGAACAATGAAAAAATAATCTTTCTTTTTGGAATGATGATATATAATTCCAAAAGAACAATAAAAGAATCGTTCTAAAGGAACGATGATGTATCGTTCCAAAAGAACAATAAAAAAATAATCATTCTAAAAGAACGATTATATATTATTCTAAAAGAACAATAAAAGAAATCATTCTAAAGGAACGATGATGTATTATTCTGATAGAAGAAAAAAATAATTGTTCTAAATGAACAATAATGTATTGTTCTGAAGAACGATAAAAATCGTTCAGAACGATGATATATCATTCCTTTGGGAACGATTTTATCAATATCCATACTATTCATATATCCATAGATAACATGGATATGGATTATTCGTATTATCCGTATATCCATGGATAAAATGGATATGGATTATCCGTTCAATTTTTTTTAAATTATCCATATTCAGGTTTAATTTTTATATGTATAACAGATATTAAATTTATATTATGAATATATATCCATGGATAATATGAATACTTGGATCTAAACTCTAGTCAAGAATAACCTAAGATGATAGTCTATACCATAGTTACCTCGCCATACATTAAAGTCATCCAGAGAATCAAACTCTGGTTTTAAAACTCTAGTTGTGATATAGGCATCACGATGATTGAAGACACTGTAATATCAACTACCTATAACCTGCGACTATTGTTTAATCTAAGTTATACAGTACCTACCATTGATCTTACCCTCATAAGCACCCTTTGCAGACAATGCGACACTTGTTTATTACAGACCAGCCTTACTATCGGTTCTAAACTCAATTAGTTTACGATAGGTGAGAATATCTATTACTACTACCTGTTGTCAGGATGGTATGGATCTAGACTAAAGATGGTACAGCAATTGATTTCAAATTTACAAAATGTTGCAACATAAGCTAAAATTAGTTGCAACAT